GTTGTTTCTTGTGTGTCGCGTGTGTCTGATGAGGGTGCCTACGGCCAGCAGAAGGAAGTGAGGAAAAATTCTAGGAGGTTGGGAGCTAAGCCAAGTGGAGGGAACAGCCTGACCCCCGGCCTCTGTGCTCTGTTTACCTCTGCCGTGGCGTGGCCTCTGGGGCTCGTGGAAGCTGCCAGTGAGGAATGCAGGGTCCCGGCCGACTGAGCTCATCGCTGGCTGGCTGCCTGTGGCCTGCCCCACTGTTCCTCCCAGCTTGGCCATGGGACTGGCCATGAGATCATCGGCTAACAATGCTGTGAAGGGGAGCCAGATCGGCCTGGCTGCCAGCATTCCAGAATTTGGTGAAGTGGAAACCACCATGGAGCTAATGTCATCCTTTCCTGTCCCTAGGGACCACCCACGGGCTGTGTCCCCTTGTGAAGTTCCAGGAATAAAGGGAACTAATTACTGGTCCTGCTCGTAAAGTGACAGACACCCACTCATGAGTCAGCAGCTCCACTCCTGGACATGCACAGTGGAATACTATACAGCAAGGAAAAAGAACAAGGCACACAATAGGTGAAGAACACAGCCATTCACAGCCATGGTGTTGAGTGAAAGTCACCAGACAGAAAAGAGGATGCACTGGCTGGTTCTGTTTACATCAAGTTAGGAAACAGGCAAACTCATCCATGGTAACAGAGGTGGGTACAGCTGTTATCTGAAGGTAGGGAGAGTGATGGAGCTGGGAATGTTCTGGAACCTCATTTCGGGAGGTGGTTATGTGAAATGTCATCGAACTCAACACCTAAGATTAGGCCTTTTTGCATTCTGTAAGTCATATCGTGATAAAAATTTAAAAATAAAAAGGCAGGGCTTCCCTGGTGGTGCAGTGGTTGAGAGTCCACCTGCCGATGCAGGGGACGCGGGTTCGTGCCCCGGTCCGGGAAGATCCCACATGCCGCAGAGTGGCTAGGCCCGTGAGCCATGGCCGCTGGGCCTGCGCATCCAGAGCCTATGCTCCGCAACAGGAGGGGCCGCAGCAGTGAGAGGCCCGCGTACTGCAAAAAAATAAATAAATAAATAAATAAAATAATAAATAAATAGGCAGAGGACTGTAGAAAACATTTTTGTGATGCCTCAAAAAGTTACACATAGAATGATCATATGATCCAGCAATTCCCTTTCTGGGTACAACCTCACAAGAATTGAAAACAGGTCCTCCAATCTTCATGTATGTGTTCGAGAAAACACTACTCACAATAGTTGAAAAGGTGGAAACAACCCAATGACCATCAACGGATGAATGGATGAATGAAGTGTGGTGTCTTCACATGCTGGAATACTATTCAGTCATAAAAAAGAGAAAAGCACTGACACACACTCCAACATAGATGAGCCCTGAAAACACGCTGAGTGAAAGAAGCCAGATCTAAAAGGCCACATGCTGCACGATTCTGTTTATATATGTGATATTGTGACTTATAATAAGAAATATACATTTGGTCTTCCACCCCATTTCTGGCATAGAGCTCCTAAAACCCTTGGGATTTCCTGTGAAGAGAGAGATAAAGGTGTCTTTCGTTAGGTTATAGAGGTGACTTTTGAAAAACAACTCAAGGATAGAGGCTGGTTGCTAGGAGCACAAATCATGCAATTAGAGGGTTGGAACATTCAGCCCCAACCTCCCTATACCGCCCAGTTCTGGGGATGGAAGAGGGGTTGGAGCTAGAGTTCAATCATCAATGGCCAATGACTTAATCAACTGTGCCTATGTAACGAAGCTTCCATAAAACCCCGAAGGATGGGCTTCGGAGAGCTTCTGGGTTGATGAACATGCAGAGGTGCTGGGAGGGTGGTGTGCTGGAAGAGGACATGGAAAATCCATGCCCTTTTCACATACCTTGCCCTATGCATCTCTTCCATCTGGCTGTTGATCCGTTTCCTTTATTTTTTTTAAATATAAATTTATTTATTTATTTACTTTTGGTTGCGTTGGGTCTTCGTTGCTGCACACGGGCTTTCTCTAGTTGCGGCGAGCGGGGGCTGCTCTTTGTTGCGGTTCACGGACTTTGCATTGCGGTGGCTTCTCTTGTCGCGGAGCATGGACTCTAGGTGCGTGGGCTTCAGTAGTTGTGGCACGCGGGCTCAGCAGTTGTGGCTCGCGGGCTCTAGAGTGCAGGCTCAGTAGTTGCGGTGCAGGGCTTAGTTGCTCCACGGCATGTGGGATCCTCCCGGACCAGGGGTCGAACCGTGTCCCCTGCCTTGGCCGACGGATTCTCAACCGCTGCGCCACCAGGGAAGTCCCTCCCTTTCCTTTAATATCCTTTGTAATAAACCTGTAATCTAGTGAGTGAATGGATTTCCTGAGTTCTCTCACTGGCTCTAGCAAATTAATCAAACCCAAGGAAGGGATTATGGAAACCTCTGATTTATAGCCATTGGTCAAAAGTACAGGTGACCACCTGGACTTGTGACTGGCATCTAAAGAGGGGTGGTGGAGGGCAGTCTTGTGGTACTGAGCCCTTAAGCCGTGGGGTCTGATGCTATCTCTGGGTAGACAGTGCCATAACTGAGTTGAATTATAGGACACCCAGCTGGTGTCAGAGAATTGTTCATGTGGGGAAAGAATGTTTAATATGAAATGTCCAGAACAGGCAAGTCCATAGAGATAGAAGGCAGATTAGTGGCTGCCAGGGGCTGGGGGAGGGGGGATGGGGAGTGACTGCTAATGGGGACGGGGTCTCCTTTTGGGGTGATGAAAATATTCTGGAACTAGGGCTTCCCTGGTGGCGCAGTGGTTGAGAGTCCGCCTGCCGATGCAGGCGACACGGGTTCGTACCCCGGTCCAGGAGGATCCCACATGCTGCGGAGCGGCTGGGCCCGTGAGCCATGGCCGCTGGGCCTGCGCGTGCCGAGCCTGCGCTCCGCAACCGGAGAGGCCACAACAGTGAGGGGCCTGCGTACTGGGAAAAAAAAAAAAGGAAAATATTCTGGAACTAGACACAGGTGGTGGTTTCACAACACTGTGAATGTACTAAATGCCACTCAATCGCTCACTTTATTTATTTATTTTAAAAATTTATTTATTTATTTATTTTGGCTGCATTGGGTCTTCGTTGCTGCGCGTGGGCTTTCTGTAGTTGCGGCGAGCGGGGGCTATTCTTCGTTGCGGTGCGCGGGCTTCTCATTGCGGTGGCTTCTCTTGTTGCGGAGCATGGGCTCTAGGCGCGCGGGCTTCAGTAGCTGTGGCGCATGGGCTTAGTTGTTCCGCGGCATGTGGGATCTTCCTGGACCAGGGCTCGAACCCATGTTCCCTGCATTGGCAGGCGGATTCTTAACCACTGCGCCACCAGGGAAGTCCTGTTCACTTTAAAAGTTGAATTTTCTGTGAATTTCCTGGGGAGGCTCATACCTGGGAGGCATGAGAAGCTGTCCCATGACAGCTTTCCAAGAGAGGTAAGGAGGTGAGTGGTGATGGCTTCCGAGAAACTCCCCCCAGGCCTCCAAACTCTGGGTTCCCAGGGCACCCAGGAATTCTGACAAGACTCAGTGAGGTCTGCGTGGCCTGTGTGGACACGTGCAAGATCCTATGGTGAGATCGTCCCCTACAACTCTACCTACCTTACTTGCCCCTCAAAGTCTTTGTTTCCTTATCCCTAGAAAGGAACTGAGTCCCATGGAAAGAAGAGGACTGGTCCAGCCTCCCAACCAGCTGCAGTCAGTTGGACATGATGGTGACATGAGCAGAGAGACGTCTCTACTAAGCACCTGCTGAATGCCCGGGGCATCACATCAAGAGCCTCAGCCCTCCACCCCCATAGCTGGGCGATAATCCCACTGACAGAAGCTGAGGCTGAGACCCAGTGGAGCCAGAGGCTTGGTGGGACTCACACAGCTGGAGGTGGGGAAGGCCTGGACTCCATTTCTCCAGTAGGAGCCTTGCTGTGTGACACCCCTCCTTGTATCTGTTGCCTGCACACACCCCGTCACACTTTACACACCCCCACGATCTGCTTTGCACAGTGGCCCATCCTGAGGCCAGGAAGCTGGGAGTAGGCACAGGGATGGATGCCTGGGGCCAGGAGTCCTGAGCAGTAGGGCAAGGGCTGGGTACCCCAGGAGAAAGGATGTTCCTGGGGCACCCTCTACCCCTCTATCCTCTGGTGACTGGACTTGATACCAGCCTTCACTACCCCAGGCCCCGGCACCCCAATTCTCTGCCACCTCTTCTTCAGGCCCAGCCAAAGGATGGGGGCCCAGAGTAGCTTCATCCCTGCCCAAGCCTTCAAGAAGCCCCCAGTCTGGGGCAGACAGAGACAAGCAAGCACACACACTCCCAGCGCTGTGGGGTCAGGGCTGGGCTGGAGGAAGGCATGGGGTTGGAAGCACCCTGCTGAGCCTGGAAAGGAAATGTCAGAAGGCTTCCTGGAGGAGGGGCTTTCTGAGTAGGGTTTTGAGGAATGGATAGGAGTTCCCCAGCTGAAGATGAGTAACTGCAAAAACACCCAGTTTATCAAGCACCTGCTATGTGCCTGGTCCTGTCCTTTACACCTCATTTGACCTTCTCTCCAGTGAAAGTCTCAATCCTTCCTTATTTTCCAGATGAAGAAATAGAGGTGTGATGGAGAGGAATGGTTTGCCCCAGGTTGCACTTTCTGGCCGTTTTTTTTTTTCCTCTGCTTCCTTTGTTTTTCACTATCTTCAGCCTTTGACCCTAAGCAAAGAGGGGAGAGCAGGAATCTCATCAGGGAAGAAAGCCACCTCATCCCTTAAGCTCCTGTTGTGGAGTTTAGCACATAGTAATAAATCTTTTTTGAGAAAATTATTCTTCCCTCCAGTCCACCAAGCTGGGATGATGTCCCCATTTCACAGAAGAGGATACTGAGGCTCAGAGAGGCTCCTGAGGGGGATTTCCCAGCATACCGAGGAGCTCCTACCCATCAGAAAGCACTGCCCCCTGAAAAGCAGCCGAAGACCCCGCCCAGTTGTGGTCCCTGGAGTGTTTACTCTGCACCCACGGTGGGCGGGACCAGGCAGGCGGGGGCGGACAAAGTCCGGGGACTATAAAGGCTAGTCCAGCAGCGTCCGGTCAGTCCCAGCTTAGAGCTTAACTAACACAGCCATGCCAGGGCAGAGACCGACACCACCACACTGCTCTCCGATGCTGCTGATGCTGTTCATGTTCTCCTGGCTGCCGTCGCGAGGCGCCCTATCTCTGGCCCAGGAGCACCTCCCCACTTTCCCGGGACCCTCAAACGTGCACTCCAGTCCTGATGTCTCCAGATTCCGGGAGTTGCGGAAACGCTACGAAGATTTGCTGACCCGGCTTCGGGCGAACCAGACCCGGGAAGACTCGAACCCGGACCTCATTCCCCTTCCTCAAGTCCTGGTAGTCACTCCAAAGCGTGAGTAAAATCTCGGAGACCCCACACTGGGCAGCTCCCATCATTTAACCAGTGGTTCTTAAACATAGAGGCCTAGACCTGCCGCCGAGCCTCAGTTTTCCCATCCATGAACCCGGCAAGAAAGTCACCCCTCGAGGCTGATGGGGGAACTAAAGGCTGGGTTTGCATCAGGACCAGGCGAGGCTTAGCCAACCTGAGATGTTACAACACCTCCCCGGGTGGCAGATGGGGAAACTAAGGCCAGAGAATCCAGAGACTCTACTGAACACTCCAAGAGTCCGGAGAACCCAGAGACAAGGTTGGGCGAGGGCACGTGGTCCCTGCTCTTGGATGTGAGGAAAGGGTTGGAGGGGGATTTCCAGTGGGAAGGATCCAGGGGTCCGGCGGAAGGGCGGGACGGGGAAAGGGACAGAGAGGTGCACAGAGATGCGCAGAACCTGCTTGGGCTGGTTCCGAATCTGATGCAATCGCGCGCCAAGGCACTGCTAAAGTTGCACGTGACTGGTGCCTTAGGGAGGGAGTGGAGTATTTTCACGCCCTCCACCGAGCCTCCAGCGGATGGAGGGGGTGCAAGGAGATGTGGGCTGCGCTAGGAACTGGGAGTTGAGGGGAGGATGTCAGGCCAGAAGGAAGAGCTCTTATCCCGCCCTAATCCCACTTGTGCTGTGGGACTCCAGGAAAACTTCCCTCTCTCTGAGCCTAGTGACTGGGTTGCGAGCCCTCAAACCTCAGTCTCCCCAGTCTCCCCAACATCTGTACCAGCCTGGAGGTCTGAGAATCCTGGGGAGCCAGACACCCTTCATTTCTCAGATATGGAGGCAACCAGAGAGTTGAAAACACAGTAGCTCGTTAACTAAGCACCTACTATGTGTCAGACACAGTGGTGACCAAGCAGACAGAAATCCCCGCTGAGATTCTGGTGGGGGAGGCAAATAATAGACAACCAAATAAAATAGGTCGGTGCCAATTTTAGGCAGGCTGGAGTGGTATGTAACCAGCCATGCTGAGATTCAGGGGAGGAGTGTGGCCGGTAGAGGAAGTAGCTTGTGCAAAGGCCGTGAGGTAAGATCTAGCTTGGGGTGTTGGAGGAAATGGGCACACACACACACCACCACCACCCCGCGCCCGGCACACAGTAAGCCCGTGAATGACTGGTTTCCCTCTCTCCCATAGTGCGACTTGGACCAGGCGGCCACCTGCACCTGCGCATCCCCCGGGTCGACTTAACTGAGGCGCTCCCGGCAGCCTCCCGCCTGCATAGGGCCCTTCTCCGGCTGTCCCCGAAGGCGCGGAGCTCGTGGGACGTGACGCGGCCACTACAGCGTCAGCTCAGCCTCGGAAGCTCCCGGGCTCCCGCAATACGCCTGCGACCGTTGCGGCGACCGGACCAGTTGCTGGAGGCATTGTCTTCTGCACAGCCCCAGCTTGAGCTGCACTGGCGGACAAGCGCCACCAGGGGACGACGCCACGCGCATGCTCGCACCCGGGACGGTTGCCCGCTAGGGGAGGGGCGCTGCTGTCGCCTGCAGAGCCTGCGCGCGTCGCTCGAGGACCTGGGCTGGGCTGACTGGGTGTTGGCGCCGCGCGAGCTGGACGTGCGCATGTGCACCGGCGCGTGCCCGAGCCACTTCCGATCGGCTAACACGCACGCGCAGATGCAAGCGCGCCTGCATGGCCTGAACCCTGATGCTGCGCCTGCCCCATGCTGCGTGCCAGCCAGCTACGATCCGGTGGTGCTCATGCACCAAGACAGCGACGGCCGCGTGTCACTCACGCCCTTCGACGACCTCGTGGCCAAGGACTGCCACTGCGTGTGAGCAGCCCTGGTCCTTCACTTATGGCACAAATGCAATGGAAATGACTTCAGTTGTCCTTGTCTGTCTAGTGGGCTCGTGGAACCTGAAATACCCGATTCCTAACCATTGCTGTCTGCTCCCTCCTGGCCCAAACCTATGTATTTATGTTTGTATTTATTATTAATTTATTGGGGTGATCTGCCTGGGAATTGGAGGGCTGGGGAGGCGTGGTCTGACAGGGTGTGCGTTTATGGAAAACTCTGGTAATAAAAATGAAGCTGTCTGACCTGACCCCTGTGGTGTCCAGGATGGAGCTGGTGACCTTGGGAAGAGCCCACCCCCGCTGGCCTCAGTTCCCTCAGGGGAGCTGATATGAGATGATTGGAACAGTCCGGGGAATGGGTGGCAGGACGTTCTTGGGGATGCCAAGAGATTGGACAGTGGTCACGATGCCAATGGTCCTCAAGCGCAGCCGGGGACATCCCTCTCTCTGTTTCTGTGCTTCTCTACCTCCCCATTCCTCTGCTTTTGTTTCTGAGACCCTTTTGGGTCTCAGCCTCCCTCCATCTCTTCTGATCTCTCAGTACTCCTGTTTCCGTAATTATCTGGCCCTGTCTCTATCACCATCCTGCTCTCTCTCCCTCCATGGGGGTCACCTTTCCAAACACAGGCAGCCCGGAGTCACGTGCATTGTGTGTGACTCTGCCCCCGACCTGGAAGAGTCCCATTACTTCTCCTGTTTGTGGCACCTCCCTTCATGTTAATCATGCCTTTATCCTTTCATATAAAAAGAGCAGGGAGAGGGACTTCCCTGGTGGCACAGTGGTTAAGAATCCACCTGCTAAAGCAGGGGACGTGGGTTCGAGCCCTGGTCCGGGAAGATCCCACGTGCCATGGAGCAACTAAGCCCGTGTGCCACAACTACTGAAGCCCGCATGCCTAGAGCCCATGCTCTGCAACAAAGGAATCCACTGCAATGAGAAGCCTGAGCACCGCAATGAAGAGTAGCCCCCGCTCGCCACAACTAGAGAAAAGCCCGTGCACAGCAATGAAGACCCAACGCAGCCAAAAATAAATTAATTAACTAACTAATTTTAAAAAAAGAGCAGGGAGAAGTAAGTTGTGAAGAACGTTTTCATGCACACCACATCTCCCAGGTTATATCTTTTCCTACTTAGGATCTTAGAATTGCTGAGCTGTACCAAGCCCAGCCCCTTCCCCACACCCACTTGCCTGTTCACCCTGAGGAACTGTCATGGGAGTCTGGAGGGCAGAGCACCCAGCTTCAGCAGTGAGTGAGATGTGTCCCCTGTGAACCCCAGCATCCAGAGGCAGATCTGAATGACTGCAGGTGCCCCGAATGTATTCAGTGAGTACCCACTTTGTGCCAGGCCATGGCTGGGCACTGAGGACACGAAAGAGCAACGTAGGCAAAATTTTACGACTCCATTCAAGCTCAGCTGAGTGCAGGGACAAATGAGTATAAGATAAATCATAAGTGGCTGATGGTAGTAAGAATCGTGCAAAGAGGTCAACCCAGGCAATGCATTAGTGAGCAGAGGAAGACAGATTTTTGGCAGCAGGAGTGGGGGCTCGAGTAGTGTCTAGGGCAGGGATGCAGGGGTGCAAGGAAGCTGAAGACCCTCATAGGTTGCCTCTCCCACCCTGGGTCACTCCCAGGTGTTGGGGAAGCCAAGGGAACCTCAAAATTAAACTCAATGTCAGGATCACCCAAAGGTAGCAGCTGCCATACTGAGTCTCTCCCCAAACATCAACTGCTGCCTTTGCCGGACACTGCTGCCCATGTGACCCTTCACACCTCCAGGCTGGTCCCCCTGCCCAGTGTGCCTTGTCCTTTCTACTTCTCGAACACCTATGCATCCTTCAAAACACACTTCAGATTCCCCTCTTATGTACAGTCCTTTTTAAACTCCTTCATTCATCTCCCTCTGGGGACCGTCGTTCCATCTCTCCTTCTGGCCCAGGCTTGACCTCCCAGGACTGGGGGTGTCTGTGTCCAGCTCTGTCTCCCCTAGTTTGGGGGCTTGGCAGGAGTCGGGCTGGGAGCAGCTGACAGGAAACCCAGCTGAGGCATGAGCTTGAACAAACTCTTGAAATACACTGAGCTCTGGGAGTGATGAACTCTGCCTGAGGAGGAACCAGGGAAGGGTTCTCAGAGTGGCATTGGCATTGCACCTGGGCCTTGAAGGATGAGTTAAGGTATCTCAGCATATTAGAGCTAAAACAGCCTTAGAGGCCAATTTTAATCACCTTGTTTTACAGATGGGGGAACTGAAGCCCAGAGGGTTAATGGCAGAGTCAGGAAGTGGACCCATGCCTCCTGATGCCCAGACCAGAGTTCTGCATCTGTATTTAGATGCTTAAGAGTGAGAAAACGTGGAAGGGGATGGCAATCTGGGCAAAAGGAAAGGCATGGGTAAATGACATGAGAAAATGAAAGCTTCAGGAGGGAGGTGAGCTTGATGGAGAGGAGACCCAGACCAGAAGGGCAGAGGAATGGGAGAGGGCAGTGGGTTGGGCAGGGCTGGGTCACGCAGGTCTCAACCACCAGGCTGAGAATCTGGGGGCAGTGGGGAGCCATAGAGTGTGTGTGAGCGGGGGAGGGGCGCAGTCCCATTCATGAGTTATAAGGATCCCTTTGAGGCTAGTGTGGGCTGCCCTGGGGGGCCAAGTCTGGATACCAGGCACCTGAGAAGGGGGCCTGAGAGTGACAGAGGGGAGAGACTGGAGGTTGGGAGCAATTTGGGAGTCCCAGAGCTCTCGTCTTGGAAGCCCAGCAGCCTCATCTGTCCCGCAGAATTTATTGGGCAATACTTGCACACCAACGGGAGGGTGACGACAGAGTTCACACGTTGACCCTCCCATCCCTGTGTTGGGGTCTCTCCTTCTCCACTTCTAGCAGCCGAGTGGCCTGAGGAGCAGAGTGGTCTAGGGAGGGGGCTGCAGAGCCTCCCTGGGGCCTCAAGGATGATCCTTCCCTGGCCCCATTCCTCAGATGGGAAGACTGAGGCCAGGGAAGATCCAGGGTGCCCCAAGTCACCTGGAAGGGGGTAGGCTGGAGTTTGAGATGTTGAAGGCTCAGCGCCCAGAGATCACATACTCTTCTTCATCCGATGGGGCCTGGCCCAGCGACTGCAAGTTGCAGTAGACAGGCTGGGAATCATGGTGGCGGCTCTCATAGTTCATGTAGAAGTCGTTGTCCTCTGAAGGGTGAGGCCTGTGGGGACAGACAGATGGGAGGGCAGGTAGGATTCAGGGAGTGGGCACATCAGCTTTGAGAGGCAACGTAGTTCAGGGCAATTGAGTCCACTCCTAATATTTACATATGAGAAAAGTGAGTCATGGGGCAGTGTTCTCCCAGCCTGGCCCAACTTTCTGTGAGGAAAGCAGGTAAGGGGCAGTGATTCAGGGAATATTCTGTGGATTCAGCGTTGTAACGCTGTGGTCCAAGGACCTTGAGTCATTGTAGGGTTTTTTTCTTCCTTAAAGTTGAGATGGTTGCCCATTTTTTTACATTAAATTCTAGATTTTGTTTTCCTCTTGAAAAACTGGAAGCTCTAGTCACACCAGCCACATGAACACAAGTAGCTGGAGCTGAACCAGTGCCCCTTCAGATGGGAAATGTTTTCACCAGGTCCCCAGAAGCAGCTGAATTTGTGGTCTTGATACAAAAATAAATCTCTGAGCCTCAGTTTCCCCATCCACAAAATGGATCAGGGAGGAGGTAGCTTCTTAGGAATGTCTTGCTATGGTGGGCAAGACACCCAGAGAAGAACTTTCCTGCCTCCAGAACATCCTAACACCCCCACCCCCGCTCCTCTTGTAAAAAAGGCCACTTTGGGTAAATGGTGTCTATCAGTCATTTGTACTTTAGTATAATTTACTCCAAATACATAAATGGTTGTATGGGGATGGAACTCAGGGTTTGTTTCTTGCTTCTGCTTCTGACCTTGGGCATGTCATTCCCCTGCCTTCCAGAACATCCATTTCTTTCTTTCTTTCTTTCTTTCTTTTTCTTTTTTCAGCCACACCGCATGACTCGTAGGACCTTAGTTCCCCGACCAGGGATTGAACCCGCACCCTCACCAGTGAAAGCACAGCGTCCTAACCACTGGACCACCAGGGAATTTCCAGAACCTCCATCTCTGCAACTTTAAAATGTAGGTTGGGATTGACACATCCAATTCTTAACAGTGTTTTTAGAGGAGACTGGTCCTGAGGTCTTGGTGACAGCGAGGCAGAGGCAAGCATCAGAACACAAGCTGCCTTAGGGAGTGTGGTGCCTTCAACTCCTTACCTCAGCCCACTTCTGCATTTGAGCTCTATTTGCATCTGCTTTGCATATTCTCTTATTTCTCACCAATAGTCTCTCACAGGCCTCCCCACCTTTTGGATTCTGCGGCCGCAAAACCCAGCCACGACCAAGCTCTTCCCTTCCTGCTTGGATCCTCCCAGCCCCCTCCAACTTCAGCCCTGATGTCTTGCCTTCTCAAAACACATCCACAGCAGATTCTCTGTTCTCTCCCACTGCCAGGCTTTTGCCCTTCCTTGTGCCTGCCCCCCTGAAATCCCCTCCACTCCCTCATCCAACCTGGAAAAGTTGAACCCATCTATCTAAGCCCAGGCAACTTTGGAGGCAGGACTTTGTGGGGTAGAGAGAGACACAGATGGCTCTCTTAGCATCTCCTGTGTGTCAGAAGGAGACCGGAGTGCTGTCCCATTTTACAGAGACCGAAACAGAAGTTCAGAGACGGCCCTGGGTCACACGACATCTGAGCCCAGGCCGCTGACTGCTACCGCAGAACCCCGACTCTGCCTTGAACACCTGCCTCCTCTCTCCCAATCCTTGGCAGCCAGAAGCTGGGTTTGCAGGTCATGAGAGGAACACTTGTCTCCTACACAAGAACTCAATTCTTATCCCAACTCCATGAGGCAGAGGGCTGTTATTGTCCCCATTTTATCGGTGAAGAAACGGTGACCCAGAGAGGTGGAAATGACTTGCCCAAGATCACACAGCCTGTAAGAGGCAGAGCTGGGAATTGAACCCTGGCCATCTGGCTCCAGGGTCTTGCAAGCAGATGTGTGTGGGTCACTCACCTGTGTTCAGCCCACTGGTGCCTGGCAGCTGGTTGGCCCACAAACATGTTCTCATAGTCAGAAGTGGAAGATCCAGGCAGGGTGGCTGCTGGGAGCTTAGGGCTGAGGCCCCGGCTACTATACCGTGGCTGCTGGCCCGAACCAGACCTGGGACCATTCTGAGCAGCCCACGT